CTCAGGAACAATCGAGCTACTGAGTGGACTACATAGCAAATTAATAGACTACACTATGAATGACTACTGTGTTATTTTGATTGGAGAAGAAGACTTCAAAGAATCCTATAACTATACAAATCTTATAGGTAACATAAAAAACACGCTAGAAAAAATAAAGCATACTAATGTAATTATAACATTACCTACGTATATATGTGGTGCACCCTTGTATAACTATAAGGTAGAAATTTTCAATTCTAGTCTACAAAATAGCATACAGAAATTTGAATATGCATACTGTTTTGACTCAAATTATGACTTAACTTTTGACATGTTTTCTCAGACAACTGGTAAACTCAATAATTTAGGAATTAAAAATATTTTTGAAGATATATCTAAATATTTTTTTCGTTGGTTCTAAAAATAAATTCGGAGGAAATCTTCCGTCGGTAAACATTGACAATAATGTACTCATAAAATTAGCTAATGATGACTTTACAGAAACAATAACATGCGATAAAGACATATTACATAATATTATTATATATCATCAAAATGTTTGTGGTTTAAATACCAAAAAGGCTGAATTGGATGTATATATAGAAACATTAAGTACCTTTAAGTTATGTATGTATTACGAAACATTTTTTAAATAATCAAAATATTGAACTTTTTTATTTATCTAATTATAGCATAATTTTATATAACACTAAGTCAAAAAAACTAGAGGAGGTAGTCTTATATTAGGACTAAACGATTGTAAATATATAGATTTAGTTGAGTGTAAAAAACTGTATAAAACACAGTATTTTGAAGTATGTGGCATTAAGGATGTTAAAACCGAATTAAACGTAATTTGTCTGTATAGGAATACACTAGATGAATTTTTCTCAGCTTTTATGGAGCGGCTTGAAACTTTGTTTGAATATTTTATTAATAAGAAATATATAATCTGTGGGGATTTTAATGTTAATCTCTTAAGTGACACTAAACAAAGGTCAGATTTTTTATCTTTATTAAAATGTTATAATTTTAGACCCCTTATTTTATCGGTTACATTCACACGGGGTAACGCTCAATCCTGTTTGGATAATTTCATAACAAATCTTCCAGATGAATGCATAAAAGATATTATAATAGATCAAAATGGGTTGTCAGATGGCCACGCAGCACTAATATGTAATGTTGATCTTCAAATCCAGGGAATCACGAAAAATAATAAAAATAAAACTATTACAAGAGAACAAAGAGTATTTAATGAGATGAACAATAAATTATTCAGAGAACACATATTGAAACATGAATGGCAAAATGATGGAATAAATAGTTTCATAAAAAAACCGTATGCAATTTTTGATAAGAGTTTTAAGAAAAAGGTAAAAACTATTAGAATACGAATTAAACAAACTTCAAGCTGGATTACAAAAAGGATAAAGGTGGCCAGCTATATGAAGCGTGTGCCAGTACATAGATCCATCAGTGACCAATCTATTGTTGATTATAGAAACAATTATATAAAATTATACAGAGGGGTAATTAAGTATGCCAAAAGGTTATAAATACAGTCGCAAATAGAGAAGTCGAATAACTCTGTTAAGATGATCTGGGGTATAGTTAACAAACACAGGAAGAAAGTTCCCAATGTAAATATGAATATATTTATCTTAAAGCATAATAACAAATATATCGAAAGTACTCAAAAAGTTGTGGATATCTTTGCGGAAAACTTTGATCATGGCCTATCACCCTCGAGAGGTTCCATACAACTATCAATGAAGTTTCTTGAGCATAATGTACAACCTTGCATAAATGATATGTGTTGGGATCACATAACACCTGCGGAAATATCTAAAATTGTAAAAAGTATGGAAGACAAGAAGTCATGTGGTTGGGATGACATACCAATTTCAATATTTAAGAAAAACATAGACTTTTTAAAATCACCATTAGCGAGTCTTTACAATAAATGTTATGAAAAGGGCATTTTCCCTGAGGAGTTTAAGATTGCAAAAGTATTACCTGTACATAAGAAAGGTTCAAAAAATGACTCTAAAAACTACAGACCTATCTCACTTTTACCAACAATTTCAAAAATTTTTGAAAAACTGATTAAAGTTAGATTAACTAAACATCTACACAATAATAAAATAATAAATACACGACAATTTGGATATCAGCCAAAAATAGGAAGTAACGATGCGATAGATACATTAATTGATGATGTCATCATAAATTTAAATAATAAAAAGAAAGTAGCGGGATTATTTCTGGATTTAAGCTCTGCTTTTGATATGGTTGATCATAACATATTAATTAAAAAACTTCAATACTACGGATAAAGCAAAATGTGCTACAGCTATTCAAGTCTTATTTAGAAAACAGACAGCAATATGTTGAACTGAAGTGTATCGAGGATAAGTATGAAAAGACGTATAAATCTAAATTAGATAAAATTAATAGAGGAGTGCCACAAGGTTCCATTTTGGGACCAATCTTCTTCATCATATTTATAAATGATTTGATCCCCTTTATGTATAACTCTCCACCGGAAGTTCATATTGTGGCCTTTGCGGATGATACAAATGCGGTAATATCGGCACATAATAAACCACAGACTAAATAGAGCTCTTTTAACGTTTTCTCTGTGGTTTAACGCAAATAATCTTATGCTGAATGCAGAAAAAACTAAAGCTATACTATTGAAAACCACAGCGAAAACGCGAGATACCTTGAATATCAGATTACATGAAAACTGCATACCACTTGTACAATCGGTAAAATTCTTAGGTGTTTGTATAATACACGTATTTAACATGGAAAGATGAATTGAATAATATAGAGAGCAAAATCAGCTCTGCATGCTATGCTTTGAGAAGCTTGAGGGAAGAACTAACCACGAAACAATTAAAAATTGTATATTATGCTCTAATAGAATCTCGCTTAAGATACAGTATTAAGTTTTGGGGAAATAGTTATGCCTATAATGTAAAAAAAGCGTTTATTCTACAAAAAGAGGAATTAGAATAATATCTCGCATACACCAGAGGCAATCATGTAGAGAATATTTTATAAATTTGAAAATCCTTACTGTGCCCTCTTTGTATATTCTTACTTTACTCACTGATCTTGTCAAACATCCGAATAGATATGAAACTGATAATGAAATGGCAAGAAAATACCATACGAGACAAAAGAATATACCCAATGTCTTCAAAACAAAACTACAGGTTGTTGAGCATAGCGTTAGAAATCAAGCTGTAAAACTTTTTAATAGACTACCTAATGCCCTAAAAACCATAAATAATGTTAAAACTTTTAAACAAAGGTTAAAATCTTTTTTATTTGAAAAATGTTTCTTTTCAGTGAATGATTATATTGAGTTTGGTAAAAATTTATACTGCATACAATATTTAATTGATAATTAAGTTGTAGACATTTTAGTGAACACGTATAATGTAAATTAATTAAGTTTAATATTTTTTGTTACAATTAAGTTTTCCCACACAATGTATATTGTTTTTGGAATAAATGACTATGACTATGACTATGATGAGCTAAAAAGAAGAGTTCTAGCAAGGAGCCTTGCTCCTACGCACCTTCAAGAGTTTCAATTTGCCATTGAGGAGGAGTGGAACGCTATACCACAAGATTTCATGGTAATTAATATGCGCCATTAAAAACCAATAAAGAGCTGTAATTAAGGGGATACCTTGAAAATAAATAGAAGTTTTGGGGGCGTGGCTTATTCCTTTGTCGGTGATGCTAACGGACGGTTGCGGGAGTGTCTAAATGAAAGTGATGCAATGACTTAATAGTACGCAAATTATGAGATAGCCATACCGAGCAAGCGATCAGAAAAAAACTACGTAAGCGCCAAACAACATTTTTATTCATTTTAACAAAACTTCGTTATAGATTAAAAAACTGGTTTATGAGAACTTAGATATGATTATTTACTATGCCTTAAAAATAATTCCATGAAATTATTCGTAAGAATATTGAGGTATCATCGAGAAATGTAAATAATTAGAGCCTACTTTGCAATTTTTTTCTATCGAGGAAATTACATGATATCGTGTTTTCCTTTTATGCAATCCAAGATCATATAGTTAAAAATCATATACCAAAATTTTGGTTTGTAATCTATAAAACTTAAAAAAATATGTTAAATAGAAAAACCACCAAATTTTCGAGGTATCACCTTAAGGCTAAGGGAGGGATTTCTTAAGCGAAATTGAGTAATTTTACCCGCATATTGAGTTTTGTGTCCTAAACTCCTAATGGATTTTTTTACATTGTAGGTAATTAATATCATTAGAAAAGTACTAAAGTAAACTTTTAATTGAGGTATGTTTTTGTTTTCAATATTTATTCACATTCGTGAAAAAGAACTGCATTAACCAAAAAGTCAAGGTGTGCGATTTTATTACCCTCAAGTGTATATGTGTTACAAATACATTAAATAAAATAAAATTTTAGTTGTCAAACACATAATAGTCTGTGGTCAAACTGTTGCACGGAATAGAGATTGTCGTCATAGATTTAAATGACAATATGCAATTGTAACCATAGATAACACATATAAGTATATATACTAAGTTGAAAGTGAGCTTACTTAAAATACAGACTTAAAAATTTCTCACAGAATACTAGCGTAAAAAGGTAGCTTAATGTTGCTAATTTTGTATGCTGAGTTTAGAGAAGCGGAGACCCTTCCACTGAAGGCGAGACATTCCATATTAGTCCTTAGGTCACATCGCATGCATCTGCATTTCATTCTTGAATGAGGATATATGTCTATGGGTCACAGCATTCACTTAACATCAGATGAACTGTGTGCTCTTTTTTTGAATAAGGGTGTTATTTCACAAATCAAAAAAATAAATAAACAAGTATCTATGAATTACGAAATTCTATCACAAGGTGACCAATAGTTCAGATAAAATAATCCAATTAGGTGACCTCTTTCATTCAGTGGTTTTGGTATTATAATAACCGGTGTTGTTACAAAATTGCAGGGCTCTGCGGATTCCAACTACTCGCAGCCATCGTCGGAGCTGTCGCTGGACGAAGACAAGGAAGCGCTGCGCCGAGAGAAAGAAGCGCAGGCTATCTCACAGCTCGACAAGGCAAGGGTGAGTGGGTTAACCTTTATAATTATTATTCAAATACGCGGCTACACAGCGCAGTAGCTATGCGTTTGGTCAAGTCGCTGTAGAACTTTAGGTTCGAATCGAGTATGCCTACAAGTGTTTGTATGCCAATGTTCTTCTTTTATTACGAGCGAGCCCTCCCATGACCATGAGTGCTGTAAAGTACGCGAAATGTCGGGAATATAAAATAGGTTATTTACGCGATAAAATCCATAAAAACTAGTTTCATTTAAGTATGTAGTGTTCGCGTAAATATAAGAAATCATTAATTTTTAGACTATGCAGAGGTCCAAAGGCACCTAGAGTTACCTATCAGGGGTGAAAACGTATTAACGTTTTGATTCTTAATCGAGGATAAATGTAGATGTCTATGAGCCATAGTATCCAACAACCATCAGGTGGACTGTGTGCTCGTTTGTCACCCTTGTTCTATAAAAAATATTTTTGTCTTTAGTGTAAAACAGAAATTGCCTAAGTAGTACTATCTATTATATATTATTTACAATTTATAAATATATTTTGTGTTGACATTTTGTGTTGATATTCTTGCCTCGTTTCGATGTACAAGGACTTGTCAGAAATGGGTCATAAATTTTACGGTCTTCACTCGGTATATAAACTTTATTGCTAGGCAAAGTAATGTGGGGCAAGCACGAAATAGTTTTCACGTTGTGAGATAGGAGATGTACGATACGATACATTTAAAGTTAACTTTGTTTTTACACTATAAAAGTGAAAGGGTAAGAACGTCCTACGCTCGAATACTAATATTAGGTTCTTTCATTACTTAGTATTAGTACATTTCTGTCTAGGAGTCCGTGATGGGTACTTGACATAAGTACTTTAATTAAAATTTCGCAATTTATTTATTTACTCTTTATTGACAGCCCTTAGTAACCACGGATAGTCCGCCGTGACATAGCAAGGGGAAAGATGCAAAGTAATACGAACACTCGCGCGCAGTGATAAATTTTATTTAGCTTGAGTACGTAGTTTATCTAATTAATAATTATTATGTTGGCTATTAAACGTTGGCAAGCAGTCAACAACCAAGCAGTGCAACTTCTGTACGTAGTACTATTATTTTTTCTGTGGTATAGGTAAGTACCACTTACACATTTCCACCGTGCTGGTGCTTATTTTAATATTAATATGCGTGTCTCGTTATGTTCCGGTCTGAAGGGTACAGAGATCCAGTATAATTGCAGGCTGTGAGGCATTCCATCTTAGTCCTCAGAGGTGATAGAACATCTGCAGCCTTCTTTTTTTAATAAGTTGCAAGACACCATGGACTGGGTGGAATTAAGTGGATTTTTATAGGCTGAAATGGATGGATGGATGGACGGCAGTAGCCACTTTTTATAGGAGAAGGGTGAAAAACGAGCACACAGTCCACCTGATGGTAAGTGATTGCTGGGGCCCTCTACATCTATCATCGATTACGAATCAAAATGCAAATGCGTTGTCACCCATGTGGACTAAGATGGAATGCCCCGTTTCCAGTAAAAAGGGTCTTCGGTTCTCTACACTCACCGTACGAAACACAGCAGCGTTAAGCTTGCTTGCCACCAGGTGGACTATAAGTGCATTTATAACCAGAGTTTTCTAAAAAAGTACATACAATGATACCACCTCTCATTATTGAGAGGGTTATTAAGCGTGTTAACTATGACTTCGATTATTGTTTGATTTCGTAGCTTGTGGAAAGCGACATCACATCGATCAACAGATTCCACTGCTAGTAGTATATTTTGAAAATAAAGATCGATACCGCCCGCATCTTGCGCCGGTTTCGATACCTTTCTCCCTAGCCCTCGGCTCCAAGGGCTTTCGTCTGGTTGGGTTTTTTATTTACTTATTTATTTATTTTACTTTATTTTATAGGTATTAGTATTATATTCAACATATTTTTTCAACAATCTATAAACATACATGAAGTTGTCTACGTGTATATAGCTGCAGCATGAGCACCAAGCATGAAGCTTAAGCATGAAGTCTACTAACACACATAGAGCCTTCCAACAAACTAAACACCTCCATATTCCAAAACTCTCTCTAAAATCAGCTGTGGGGCGTATTTAGATAGGCTGTAACTTTACTTTACTATGTTATAATTTAAAAAAAATTATTGTCACATTCCAGTCAAAGCCAGTGGCCTTTGCGGTTCGGACCAATGTCGCGTACGATGGAACACTGGACGACGACTCGCCTGTGCACGGCAGCGCCATCTCCTTCGAGGTGCGCGACTTCCTCCACATCAAGGTGAGATCTTAACCTCAACTTAAATACATTAATTACAAACTTGGATAGTTAACCACATTAAATAAACTTCTCCACCAGAGCGTGAAAGTTTACTGCTGGACAAGGACCTTTCCTGCTGAAAGAAATATCGATTACGGGGATGATTTCCTTTATTAGCTTGCGTATTAAATGTATCTTGTTGTACTATATATACTTCCGCCCTATTTCATCGTTAATCACCAGAAGGGCCATATAGAAAAGTCTTATATAGATGATGGTTACGGTGTGAATATAGATTGAAGCAAATTCTGAAAAATAGAAAAAATATAAACAATTTTTTTATAATATCAAATTAAAATTATAATCTATTATTAATCATTAATCCTAATCCTATAAAAATATACTCAAGGCTGGACCAAAAGACTGTAAATTGGTTCATATGACGTCATGTGTTTTTAATTTTCAGCCCTAGTCTAACCTTTAATATTCATAGATTTATACGGATTTTGTAAGGCATAGTACAATTTACTTACATAAAGTGACGCGCGTATAATACTGACAATTTAATTGAAAGTTATAGATCATTCAATTTCAATGATCGGATAATAATCGTTCCTAATTAAACAATATCATCTACATCATTAGAGTCTTTTGCAAGTCCACTGCTGAACATAGGAAATGTGTAGATTCTAATATTTTATTTTATGTAAGTGGTAAAAACCATATAGTGGTGGTGTAACAATATCCTGGCCCACATCGTCCCGCGGGTGTCGTAAGAGGCGACAGAGGGGAACAAACAAGGACACGGTAGAGCTACGCTGCAGTTATTTAGCAGTATAGTTGTAACACGAATGGGTCGGCTCGACCGGGGAACTTACTTACTTTTACTTACTTACTTTACTTTAGCTTGATACTGCTGTGTTTCGTATGGTGAGTGTAGAGCCTTTTTACTGGAAACATGGCATTCCATCTTAGGTTTATTTTCACTGGTGACAACGCATCTGGATTTCGATTTGTAATCGAGGATAGATGTAGATGTCTATGGATCGCAGCAACCACTTACCATCATATGGACTGTGCGCTCGTTTGTCACCCTATCCTATAGAAAAAAGGAGTTAAATAAAAAATAAACAAGTCCAAAAGTCAAAACAAAAAATTATAAAAATTCGATGGCGTAAAAAAGTTTACTAAAGTTGTGTATATCCTACGTTAATTCTACAAATAAAAAGCGATCCATGGAGAGATTTATTATTAGGCTACTGACCAGAGCATACGTACATACACTCGAATAACAACTGCGGCGGCAACCCGTGCGCCTAGCGTACCAACAATGGCAATTATCCCTCTTATATCGCAATCTCAGACTTTTGATAGGCTGTCACAATAGATCCTAATAAAACTATGACCACGCCGTGAAACCGTTGGGCCTCCCCAGGAGAAGTACGACAACAACTGGTGGATCGGGCGGCTCGTGAAGGAGGGCTCCGACATCGGGTTCATCCCGTCGCCGGTGAAGCTGGAGACGGTGCGCGCGGGGCTAGCGCGCGGCCGCTACCGTCCGCCATCCGCCGCGCCCGCCGCGCTTCCCAGCCGAGGTAGCACTCCCCCCACGCCCGGTACGTCACGCACTACATTCGCAGGGGCGCCGCGGACACCGAGCGAACGATGTCTCACGGAAACGGATCTGATATCGCGCGGATGCGGATCTGATCTCGCGCAGATGTGGATCTGATGTCGCGAGGTCGCGGATCTTTTTAGTTTTGCGTATAATAGAGTGGTAGTTTTGTTACAATTGTGGAATATTACTAGGATGACTTTCTTCCCTGCCTATCGATGTCCTAACTTAAAAAATCGATATATGTAAACGATGTAAAGCATTGGAGCTTAGTCCTGAGGTATGACAACAAAATATTATCTTTTTTTTTCAAGAGCCACTTGCTATCTGATAGACTGCTAGCTCCTTTGTTATTTCTTATAAAAATGGTATACTTAGTTTCATTTTAAAATAATCTTTCAGAATATATACAAATGCCATTGTGAGTTTTCTGACTTCATAATTACGTTGAAATTTTTGATTTTCTTTTCCAACATACTTTCGTTCGCCGGATTATTTTTTACGTATGAAATATTTGACTTTTCCAAGTCAAATATTTTTATCCATAATTGGCTTTTACAAAGCACTTTTTGAAAGTCATAAAAGGAGCAGAAACTTACAAGTAGACTATTTTTCTCCCAATAGTTACATTTTGACCTCATAATTTATATTGTGTAATTTTTATTTCCTTTTTTACTTATGTATTAATTTGAATACATAATTAAAAAATGTCTATAAAAGCTTTGAAGGACAGTTAGCGATAAATCTTCGCTACGTTGTCCGATGTCAAATATCGATAGAAAAGAGGCCAGTTTAAATTTTGTAGATCTGATAATGGAACCCATGAGAAAGTCACCAGATTCTACAATTTGCAAAGGCGGTGATTACATTCTTTTTAGTTGTTTGACTATTTAAAACTTTTTAAAGTTTAATTATATAAAATTCGATATTAACTTTAATTGTTCGTAATAAAAATTGCATTAGTTTATTAACTTAAATATGAAATACTTGTTGTACAGTTTTCCTATATAAAACCAATACGAATATTTACTGCCAGTTAGCAACACAAACGTCCTCAATAAATCTTTAACATCAGATCTGCATTAACGCATAGAAACCTTAAATACGCATCGATTATAAATAGCCTGGAAACATTATACGGCATCGCCTATTACGCACTGATATACTTAGTGAGATCGAGTGATAGCCAATTGGCTTACGGTATCACGTAGACTATCCTCTTGACCTTCGTTACGTCATATTTCTGCGATAAATTGCTTTAAATAAGCTAACAATAATGTTGCGGTCTTAACTTTAATACCAATTAACAATAATGTTACATGTTGCCTGATTATGCTTCGGTTAGAGACATAACACTTGTTGTATTACTGACGGTGCTGTGTCTTTTCTAATGTAGTGTTTTTGGACCTAGTGGTGACGGGGCACGGCACGGTGCACTGAGCGCTCAATTGACACACTATTTTTATTTTTTACCCGGATCTTAGAAAATTAATAAAAAATGTTGCAACTTTTACTATTGTAGGACCTCCGTTCTGCCGAGGAGTCCGTATTAGACATGTCGATCTGAGGTCGATTAATCGAAGAATCGATTTCTTGTGCAAGACAGATCGATTTTTAAAATCGATATATCCAGTGAATCGATATTTCACCCTAGAAAATCAAGATCGAATCTTTTTCAGTTTTTGTAAGAACTATGAAATGATTTTCAATTAGTTGAATGTACCCAAACTCGTAAAGAATGGTAGTTTTTCTAAGCTCGCAAAACTGTTGTGTGCTCGGTTTTTTTGTCTCTTCTTAATGGATTAAAGAAATAAAAAGTAAGTTACAATTTTAATCAGAACTTTGTTGTATATTTTGCTAATGTAAATATAAACTTTGAAAACAAATAGAAAAAGGTCGATTTTTGATAAATCGATCTTTTAGACCTCAATTTTTTGTGAATAGATTCATCAGATTTTGATTCGAATCCATTTAAAAATCGATCTTTATCGGAAAAAATCGACATCCCTAGTCCGTATGGGTTGGTATTACCACCCTCTTACCTTGTTCTGCCAAATAGCAGCGCTTGCATATTACTATGTCCTGTCTGAAGGGTATAAATAGACAGTATCATAGAATACTATAATACACAATAGAATGGCTGTCAATCTTATTTTGTAGGAGGATTGGCGTCGCCGGGAGCACACATACAAGCAATTACGCCGTATTATCAGTTATCACTACTACAAACACATTTTAGACTTTGGATTAATGTTTTTGACACATAACTGTTTCCATATTTTTGTTTCTAATATTCACAAAATATAAATAGTTTCGACTTACTGGTTGTAGAATATGTCTCCTTTATTTAAATTCCATTTCCCGCTGTTCTTTCGACACGTAATTATTGCACAATTTGCCATTTTTTAAATAATTTGCATGCAGCGACGCTTGACACGAAAATTGGAAATGATTGATTGTGTTGACATTTATACGTGTGAATTGACGTGTTAGTAACATATTAGTTGCTACACGGTCTCCGCCCACTCCCCCGTTCTATTGTGTATATATTATAGTATTCTATGGACAGTATAATTACAAGTCGTGAGATTCCTTATATTAGTCCTCACAGTCACAATGCGTGTTTAGCCTTCTTTATTTGAAGTTGGTTGCACGTTTTCATGGACTAAAGAAGCCACTTATGATCAGAACTCTAAGTTTGTATGTAACCTCAGTTTTATAAAAAAAAACTCAAACAAAACGTTACGTTCGCTAAGAGATCATAAGTCAGCGCAAATATATTCAAAGTTGCTTAAAATAATTGTTTTCGTACATTTGGTGCGTATGGGGCGATCTCCGTTATATAGTATTTGATTTCTAATACATTTATATCACTTCGCTCGTTTCGCGGCGTCCTCTATATCATGCTGACAGCGCAATTCAAATATGAAAATATGCTGAAGTATTAGTTATGTTAGTAATAGGTAAAAATATTATGATTTCGGTTTTGTTTTTGTCAATTGTTTTCAAAACACATATAGTAGCATACACATACATAAATAAATAAAGTACGAATGAATTGAATGAAAGTTGTATGAATGAATAAACGAAATACTTTATTTGTCACTAACAACACAATTTAACGAGAATTTAGAAAATATATGAAAACAATTAAAAATATAAATATTGGATTGCAATAAGAAAAAGGCATCCAAATCAGGACCATGCTATACTGATTCAGATGCCTACAATAATATATCAAATTGTCATAGGAGGTTGAGATCGTATGAGTAATACTTGAACCACCGCAAAACAAAAGCTTTTAGGCAAAAAAATTCTTGAAGACGAAGAAGTAAGAAAAAACTAACCTTCATTAGTTGGATGACGTAGACATGGATGTCGAAACAATTTGAATAGAGAAGACTAAAGCTAGTTTAGAGTCAATGGTAGCAAAGGTCTGCAGGTGTAAGGATATTGTTAAAATTAAATGAAATGAACTTAAATTATTACTTTTAAAACAACACTATTTTTCTTTCTCCTATTTAAAAGAGGAACAGTCACACGTAGGGATTTCCACTTCTAGTTGCCCTTCTCCCATTTTTATATTTACCAAAAACTTTTAACATGAAATTAAATAATCAACGTCAAGTCACGTGACCATCAGGTGACTAAACTTTGAGATAAGTATTAAGTCATTCGTTAACGATTGTATAAAGCCAACCGGGTTAATACCACGGTTCTAATTTTAAATCTTGTTAAAGAATGCTTCATTAGTTTATCATAATGTCTATTGCATTATCTACACAAGGAAATGGATATTAAATATTAACCGCCTTACTCTTAAAAATCACCCAAAAAATACCTAAAGTTGCTCTTTCTCTCTTCTTTACTAAATGACAATAGAAAAGGGTTAGTATGGAGATAATTAAAGTGATGTAATTTGTTATATTATAAGATCATGACTCCTCATACCAGGAGCGAACTTGAAGTAAAAGAAGCTGATGCTTAAAGGTCGCCAAACTAAATGTGCGGATTCGAATCCACCTTTCGAAACTTTTGCAGTTGTAAAGATTTCTGAAATTAGTAATGTTACGAGTATAAAGCATTACTCAGGTTTCTTTTCTTTCTTTTCGGTAAAAGCTATTTTATTTCTTTTGAACATTATATTTCTCTAGGTGGCAGGGCTCTTTATAAAACAAATTCCGGAGCCTATCTGGATAGTCACCACCTTCTTAGAAATTTCTGTCGCCAAATGGTAGTGCGTTCACTCGATAACTGCTAGTGTCATGTTTTAAATTGACTTCAAAAATAAAATGTTATTATGAACCAATAATTGAGGTCAGTTTATATATTAAAAATTGATATGTAGATTAAAGTTTGACTAATTCTTACGTACTGTACCTATCTTGCGTGACAATGTTAGTAAGCAAAACTTTGACATTTTTTTTAAAATATATCCGAAACTTCAGCATATTTGACTATGAAATTTGTGCTATCTGCGTTCTTGGTCGTAAACTTTGACGTCTTATTACATCAGATGAAATTTAACAGATTTATAACGATGGAACTGATCTTGCAGCTACAGTAAAAAATGAAATACAATAATTGAAACATTATGCAACTGTACTACAATTTGATCTGATGTAAATCTGTACAATGCAGTTGAATCTAATCTATTTCATGTGTTTAATTCTATCGTATTGCTTTTTCTCGGAACTCTTTAGGTGCTTAATTTGAATAAAAAATTGGTGTAATATGAAAAAGCGAAACGGTGAAATGATTGTTTATTTGGGTCCTAATTGGCTTTTTATTTTTAGGGATTGTTGTTAAATTGTAATCTAAAATTAATTCAAAATTAATTTTACTATTACTTCTACAACCCGATACTAAAATTGCTTTATCAAAGTTATGAGTGAAGTTTCTTTTAGTTGAAATTCTAAGTGTGGGCAGGACTCCTTGTATAGGTGCATTCTTCTTATTTTTGCTGCTGCTGTCGAGTAGTGTAAGAGGTTGCAAGTGTTC